GTTTGTGTATATTTGATTTCACATCCCGATTACCATCCCTGACCATAAAACACTTTCTTCCCCTCCCATCCCTATACCCTTCTTAACTATACATTCCTGTCTGTCCAGCCTTCCCTCTGTGTGAATGCTGCCCCTCTGGTGCCCCATGGCCGATTGCTCTAAGGAGTTTATCTCCCTAGAGTAAGTGGGTGCATTGCCCTGGGGTGGGTGCTCTGCATGTGAGTCTTTCTACTGTTGGGCTGAGAGCCAGTCCTTGGGAGTGAGTCCAATCCTAGGCTTGGAGAGTATCCCAGGACCATAGTCTTGGGGTTCCACCAGACTCTATCTGATCAGTAATACTGGTTGTTATTGTGTTTTTGAATTTTGTTCCACAGTTTTCCTCCCACTCTGTCCAGGATCTCCAGTTTTGATCCCTTCCCTAGTGGTTGGCAATGGTAATTTGTGGTCTAGTTCTTCTGGTCTCAAGGTCCATCATACCATTGGACTGTTTCCAAATGGATTTGATGTTCTTCACTCCTCTTTGCTTCAGGTGAGAGGAGGCCAATCTTAAATGGCCACTCAAGAGCTTTTAAGACCCCAGTCACTACTCACCAAAGTAGGTTGTGGAAAAATATTTTTATGTATTGTGTTGAACCCACTACCTGCTCCACAGAAGGAAGACTGGGCGATCTACTTCTGTAAATATTTACAGCCTTGGAAACCCAGTGGGGATCACTATGAGTTGGAAAAGACTCAATGGTAGTGAGTTTGTTTCTTTGTTTATGTTGTGCCATTTGAGCTTGGTGTCCTCCAGTACTATGGTCTTGAGTCATCAGGCCCGTTGATTCTCTCTGAAGGTGTTTGGTTGTCTCTGTCTTTTGTTGCTTTTGGAATGTGTGTGGCTAATTTTGTATCACTAGTATCTATGTAAGGTTATTTTCAGCTAAATCTATCCTTGGTCTAGGGTACTGTGGTGGTTATGTTTTTGTGTCAACTTGGCTAGGCCTGGTTGAGTGGCTGGGCAGCTGGATGTAGTATTCCCCATGATGAGACTGGTAATCAACTACATGGTGGAATCTACTATGAGCAGCTGAGTAGCTGCCTTTGGGTATGTGGTCTGCTTCCTGCATATAAGGAGAAGCCTTGGGAATGGTCTCTAGCCTATGGCATGCTTGGACACTGCATGTAGCCGTGTCATTGCTCAGTAGCCTGCTATGCTCTGCCGACCTTGGGACATACAATGGACTTAAGTTAATGGCCTGCTGTGTGGCTTGGTAACATTGGGACTGTGCCTTTTTACTTGTCAACCTTGGGGCTTCTCA